GTGACTCTTTAAAAAAAAAAAAAAAAAAAACATTTAAAAATCGTTATTGAATCGATTAACGAGGATTATGCATCGATGAATAAATAGATTAATTTTTATTTTTTTATCAAAAAACTTTATTTATACGAGTACTATTTACTGTTGGCACGAACAAATTTGATGGCTTTTTAAAAACTTTGAAATTTTATAAATTGTCATTTTTGACTCTACCAACTCAAAAGGTTGCCGACCCTTGATCTATATCGAATTTTTAATTTTAAACAAACTTCGACCTAACATAATATATAAATATATATCGCTTACACGTCGCTTCAAAAAAAAAAGAAAAAAAAATATAGGCGTTTATCTATTCGTCTATTCGTTACGAAATTGATGTGTGTGTGAAAATTACGAAAGGGTGAAGTACAAGCAACCGCAACGGCAGCTAACACAACGGCGGCGTTATTACGACAGCATATTGTACGAAGACATAATAAAGCATAAATTGCTGGAACCATCACGGCTCGTAACACGAAACTTCTATATAAACGTGATCCCTTTCTCTATCTGTCTGTCTGTCTGTCTCTCTCTCTCTATTTCTAATTCTCTATTTCTATTTCTATCACTCATTCACTTTGTCTATCTATGTCTAACCATTTATCATTCTCTCTATCCTCTTCTCTCTTTCTGTACATTTTTTTGTTGTTACACTTTCTATCTATATTTCTTTACTGTGCTTGCAATAAACAAATAAAATCAATGAACGATGCACAATACCATCATCGATAATTCCAATTGTTATCTTACACATACGACATATCCGTGTATATCTGTTACGTATATCATATTTATGTTCTTTTTTTAACTCTTTGAGGCACACAGTGGGATTAAAAGTGTTCCTCCCCCCCCCTCTTCCACCTTTTTGATACACCGTAATGCACGAGTGGGACATTTTGTAGTCCCACCTTCGAAATATTATTGCAACAGCTACACATGCTCTCATAAGTTTATATTTCATCTTATTTACGCTAAACAATTGGTTATTAACTCTTTTTCTTTTATCTTTTTTACATTATTACATTATGTAATACCTTTATTAATAAAAAAAAAAAAAATATATCAATTTTGTTTTAATTTAAAACGTAATCAAATTTCTCTATGCAACATAGATAGGGCTATTTTTTTTTTTTATTATTTGAAATTCTGTGCCGCAAAGAGTTCAATCCAATTGTAAGTATTAATTGCACGAATAAAAACATCAATGTGTACTGGAAAAAAAACTATAAACAATAAAATATTGAATCAATATTTATCGTTAGAAAAAAATCAACAATCGTCGTCCAATATTTGCGACGTTTTTAATTGTGCAATTAAATACCACCATATTTATTGTTCCAACAAAATTAATATACTTTCATATGTATTTGCTTTTTTGATACTTTGATTACTTATTTTCTTATTTGATACTTTGACAATATTTTCTCGTTGTATAGACTTTTTTTTTATTTCTTCATTGAGTAATCTAATTTTCGAACTTTTCTTTTACAGAAAACATTGTCTCTCTCTCTCTCTCTCTCTCTTGTGTTATTCCCAAACCACTCCTTTCTCTTTCTATCTATCTCTCTCTTACTCTCTATCATTTTTTTTACTATCCATCTGTCTCTGTTTCTCTTTCTATTTCTATTTCTCTCTACCCTTTGTAATTCACCTTCTTACAAAGCCACTTCACACAAATGTTATTGCAGTAAGCGTGGATGATTGGAGTAGGTAAAATTTATATCTCTGTGTTGTAAGGTCACCCCCCACCCTCACCACCACCACCACCACCACCACCACTCACCATCACCCACATTTGTAATAAACCTTGCCATTTAAACCTAAAACCTCTTATGCAAAACGTTATGTTTAATAGAATATCATCTTCATTATAATATCCGATCATTAAAATCAATCCTTGGTCAACAACAACTGGTACAAACCTTTAAGAAGAAACGTTCCACAAAAAGGTAGAAGTCAAATTGGCAAAAGAGTGTTGGGGGAATAATAATCATATGTGAAATTTTCTAACGAACGGGTAGAAGGTTCGAGGAAGGGTATAATGGGGGGAGGGAAATATTGTCCATAAAAAAAAAGAGAACGTTTTGCATTATTTTATGGAAAGTTCCTTCGTTCGTGTTAGATGTTTCTTGAAACCCCTCCCCCAAAAAAAAAAAAGAATAAAAAACCAGGAACGTGAGAAGGATGGTCATATGTAATACCTTTTTGCAATTTTTTTTTTTTTTTTTATCTGGACCCTAAAATATACAGAGCCCAAGTCCTTCGAATGGAAATTCGACAAGAGAGGAGAGGATTCAGCAACATCAGCAGCAGTCAATCCACCAGACGAGTTGTCGATAAACCCGCGATCACTGTTACACCCCCTTTTTTCTATATATATATCACTTTCGAGAAAAAAAATTGTCTTTTTTTTTTTATATCACCTTAGAGAGTGCTCTCAGCTGTTCCAACATCGACAACATAACAACAACAACAAAATGATTCTATTATCCATTTAAAGGTTCATCAAAATTTCCTATCACTTATCTCTCTCCTCAAACGCGTTTATACAGTTTGTTGTTTACCTTCATTTTTGATTTGTTTTCTTTTTTTTCTTCAATCCTCTTCTTTCCACGTAGTACAAATTTTGAAATTTTTCTTTCATGCACGTAAAACAAATTATATATATTAAATAGTTCCGACCTTCACACGTATCTTCATGTATTAATCCTTTTGTTATCTTATTGTGGAAAATAATAAATAAATAAATAAAAAAAATGAACCCGGAACATATCGAAAAATTTCGCGTGATGCATTTCGTTGAAACGGTGCAACAATATTCCAAGATAATTGTATGCATTTTTTAAAGAGCAATTTTCTATACGTTTTTGATAAGCATGATAGCACGAATTTACTTCTTATTCTTTTATGTTTCCATTTGTAAATACAAATCGTGTTATATAATTAATTATTATTTTTTTTTTTTTTTTTATAAATTAACACGCGTGAACGTAATTATTAATAATCCTAATTAATATTATCCTTCTTCCTCGTGTTGACAATTGGTATTTTATGATATATTGTATTCGTTTATGTTTTAACCCCCTTTGAGTGTTAAATACTTTTATCTAAAATATTTTCTACAAATGAAATTGTTTATTATTAATTAAATTATAATAATAAATTATATTTATTAATGGATGTTTTTCTTTCTGAATTTAATTTCATTAAATAATTAATATAAACATTACATTATTTTATATTAAACGTCGATAGACCACTATGATAATTTTTATCAAACGCATATATACGTCTATAGCACTCAAAGGGTTAATATTAATCATTTCTTACTTTATTTCAAAATAAAGAGAAAAAACGTACCGTTGCAATGAGATCATCGCGAGAGACGATTTTTATGGTATGGGGTGTAATAACACACGTGTTTTTGCGATAGTTTGTGTAAAACTTGCTCGATCGATCGAGAAAAATCGAGGCTTGATTTATGTCCTTTTTTTTATTTTATTTCAAAGAACACGTGAGCATGCAATTTTTCTCATTTTATGAACAATCTCGTATCTTCTTTATCCAATTTACTTTGAAAGCCAAAAAAAAAATGTATATGAAGGGAGGTTGGGTGGG